GACAGCCCCACAACATCCATAGACTTGAGAAACTCGGGGCGGACCTCATCCAAACCCGGAGCCTAGCCAACGAGGAGTTCCTTAACTACCTCGGCAACTTCAGCAAGGGTAATGGACAAGTCCCCTCTCGAGTCCCTGGCCCTGGCTTCCTTTATGGAAGGTGTGTTGGGGGGATTACCTGAGTTTTTGCCATGGTGACTGCCATGGCGACTGCCAGGGCTGTGTCCCGCTTGGCCTGTCGGTACCTGCCAGCTGCTTCAGGAGTCCCATGAGCCAACCGGGCCCGATAGAGCTCCTTCTTCAGCTTGATGGCATCCCTTACTTGCGGTGACCACCACTGTGTTTGGGGATTGCCGCCGCAACAGGCTCCGGAGACTTTACGGCCACAGCTCCCAGCAGCCGCCCCGACAATGGAGGTGAGGAAAATAGTCCATTCGGACTCAATGTCCCCAGTCTCCTTTGGCATCTGTTTGAAGCTCTGTCAGAGGTGGGAGTTGAAGACCTCTCTGACCAGACATTCCCAGCAGACCCTCACTATACGCTTGGGCCTGCCAGGTCTCTCCAGCTTTTTCCCCTGCCATCGAATCCAACTCACCACCAGGTGCTGATCAGTTGACAGCTCAGCCCCTCTCTTCACCTGAGTGTCCAAAAATATGGCCAAAGATCAGAGGAAACGACTACAAAGTCGATCATCGACCTCCGATCTTGTGTGTCCTGGTGCCATGTGCACTGATGGACACCCCTATGTTTGAACATGGTGTTCATTATGGATAAACCATAACTAGCACAGAAATCCATTAACAACTCACCACTCGGGTTCAGATCAGGGAGGCCGTTCCTCCCAATCACGCCCCTCCACGTATCACTGTCATTGCCCATGTGGGTGTTAAAGTCCCCCAGTAGAATGACAGAGTCCCCCATGGGAGCACTATCCAACACGCACCCCAAGGACCCTAAAAAGGCTGGGTACTCTGCACTGCCATTAAGTGCGTAAGCACAAACGACAGTGAGAGGCCATTCCCCAACCCGAAGGCGCAGGGAAATGACCCTCTCATCCACTGGGGTAGACTCCAACACCTGACGACTGAGCTGGGGGGCTATAAGCAAGCCCACATCAGCGTGTCGCCTCTCCCCCAGAATAGAGGAGGGTCCACCCTTTGTCAAGAAGAATGGTTCCAGAACCCAAGCTGTGAGTGGAAGTGAGTCTGACTATATCTAGACAGTATCTCTCAACCTCCTGCACCAGCTCAGCCTCCTTCCCCACCAGTGAGGTGACATTCCAAATCCCAAAAACCAGAGTTGGTGTCCTAGGTTTGAGTCAGCCAGGCACTCAGCCCCGGCCACTGCCCATAACACAATGCACTGGCCCCCTACGGCCTCTCCAGCAAGTGGTGAGCCCACCAAAGAAATTTTTAAATTTGAAAAGGAAAAACCGGAAATAAAGTGAAATAAGGACACACAAATAATGGGAAGGAGTCTTACTGGTGTACGCAAAGGTGCAGTTTTGTTCCCCTTCAGTGCCATCTGCTGCCCTGACAGAGACACAGAAGGTGCAGTTGGTCCCAGGGTTGAGCTCTGAGATCTGCGTGGATTCACTTGTGATGGTTTTGCTTTGGAAGCCACAGCCTGTAGTGTTAACCTGATATGTATATTCGCTCTTGTACTCCAGTGGTTTCAACCAAAACAAATTCACAGTGGTTGTGTTTATGGTTTCAGCTTCCAAACCTGTAATACCATATGGCCCTACAAACAGAGAAAAGAGTGTTACTTTTGAAAGTAGCTACATTATCCACACCATCTTTCACCATATTCTGTCATATAAACTGCACTTCTTGCTGTACAAAGGGTACAGAGAATGATAAAAATGTAAAGCAATAATGGTTAACCAATCAAACTGAACTGTTATTCACTTTGGTTGTTTTGTTTATACAGATTTGAGGTTACTGTTATAAACATCCAGGTGTAGAGACAGTTTTGTTGATAGGATATTTACATACGTGTAAAATAAGAGACTGTCATGGGAGTCGCCTGAGTGCCATCTGCTGTTTCTGTAATGACAGTGAAGCTGTAGTTGCTGCCAGAGAGAAGTCCAGTGACTGTTTTATTGGTTTCTGTGGTGCTGAGCAAAAAACTCGAGCCACCAGTAACCTGCAGCACATAGATGTAGTAAGGTTTGCTCAGGAGCTGTTCCCAAATCAAGGTCACTGCATTTGCGGTGATTCCTGATGATCTCAGCATCTTTACAGAATATGGTTCTGAGAAAATGAGACAGATGAGGTTCAGGAAATACACAGAGCAGATGGAGAAATAGTCCTACTATACATACTACTGCTTGTAAACCTCTACAAAATGTCACTGTGGAGCCTGTCACTGACACTATATTGCAAAAATATAAATAAATAATTAACAAAGAAATAACAAAACTCAAACAACACATTACTAAAGAGTTGAATAAACAAACTAGAAACCCCCACTAAAAACTGTATATAAACAAATTTAGAAAAACATCCTATAAGAAAAACAAGACACTCCACCATAACAGCCCTGATGTGTGTTAATCCCACTCACTGGTATAGTTGTGAGCTGTCACTGCCGTGCTCTTATAGTCCATCACGCCTACAGTAACAACAGAGATGTTGTAGGGGCTTCCAGGCTCAAGATTGTCCAACAGGAACCAGTTGTTTGTAGTCAGATAGGAGCCCTTAATGCCGGACACACTGAAGTTGTAACTATTGTTGTCCATGCCGTCTGGAAATGTCCAGGTAAAGTTGATGGACTCCACAGTCTGAGACACCACTGTGATGGGGCCAGGAGGGTTGGGAACTGAAGAGGAGAAGGAAAACTGTTTCAGTAGAGCTCGATTCCAACACTACAGCATCTTTAAAATAAAGACTGGTAACAATTGTCTACAGATTATTAGTAGTAGTATTCACAGGTTTTTAAGTCACAATGTCAATGGAACTCACAAGTAGCATTGCAAACATCTGAACTGTTGCTCTCCAAAGGTCCACTTTTTGTGACCACCACCACACAGTAAAGCACTCCTGGGTTCAGGTTCAGACACGTATTGTTTACAGTTGTGTTGCTCAGGCTCTTGTTGCAGGGCACCAATGTCCCGTTTCTGTCCAGCTGGACGGTGTAGGAGTCCACTCGTCCCTTTGCTGGGATCCAGCTCACTGACATGGTGGTTGTGCTTCCTATGGCCGTGATGTTTGAAACTACGTCAGGCCCTGGGGGGAAGAAGTCAACTTGAAAAAAATATACAGGTTTGGGTGGTAACACAGTAACTCTGTTGGGCCCGGCCACCAATGTCCTCTGTGGACTTTGTAACCGGCCTTCCCACATCACGAGGTAATACTGCCATCCTCACTATTGTTGACAGATTTTCGAAAATGGTACACTTCGTATCACTACCGAAATTACCCTCAGCTAAGGACACAGCCCAACTGCTCATCCTACATGTGTTCCGGTTGCATGGTCTCCCCAGGGATGTGGTGTCAGACAGGGGACCCCAGTTTGTGGCCCGTTTCTGGACGGAGTTTTGTCGGCTCCTGGGCATATCTGTTAGTCTCTCTTCAGGTTTCCATCCTCAGACCAACGGGCAGACTGAAAGGCTCAATCAACAACTGGAAACTGGTCTGCGTCTCTTGTGCCACCGGGACCCGACCTTATGGGCTGAAAACGTGACCTGGGTGGAATATTCCCACAACTCTCTGCCTTCAGCCGCTACTGGTATGTCCCCTTTTGAGTGTGTGTATGGATACTCCCCCCCCTTATTTCCCAGTTTGGACCCAGAGGTCCGGGTGCCGTCTGCATCCACCTTGGTCTGTCGCTGTCACCGAGCCTGGAGAAGAGTCCGCCTAGTCTTGCTCCGTTCGGTCCAGGAATACAAAAAATGGGCCAACTTACACCGGTCCCGAGCACCTGTTTACCAGCCTGGCCAGAAGGTCTGGTTGTCAGCCCGTGACTTACCCCTTCGAACCGAATGCCGCAAGTTATCCCCTAGGTTTATAGGGCCATTCCCCATCTCCAAGGTGATAAACCCTGCAGCGGTCCGCCTCCGTCTGCCCCCCTCTCTTCGAGTACACCCCACGTTTCACGTATCCCGGGTCAAACCTGTTCGGTCCAGTCACTTGGCTCCTCCT